TACAATTTCAAATTGCAAAAATTAACTATAGAAATACATTGAATTTAAAGCTGTTATTGAAGATTTGACCTTAGCACCATATGTAAGGGCATGAGAATATATTGCCGCGGCTTGCTCTTCCCACCGTGTCATTCATGGGGTAGAAGTTAGTGGCTTGGCCTATCGAGCAGAGGTCGCCGGTTCAACCCTCATTGATGCAAGTTTTTTTTTTTGTGTGGGTACGTAGTCCCGGTCTGAGAACTTATGTAAATACCAACCAATTACCATGTTTCTACCATGTCTCTGTAGGATATAACAGCCAGCTCTCAGGCTGAAAGGGCTTCTTGTTCTCCTACTGCAAGCTGCAGGAGTTGTACATTGTCTGAGTTAATAAATCCCTTTGTGTTTCTAACGACTGATTGCCGTTTGTTCCCACGACAATATTAGAAGTTCAGAAGGAGAGTTGACAGACCATTTACATCGACAAACTCTGTCATAACTTAACAAAGTTCATGACTCCTACTGAACTGTGATTGAATGATAACTTCAAAGACATAACCAAATTACAGTAGAACCCCTCTAATCCGTCACCTTTGGGACTGGGGGTATGGTTGGAACGCAAAAAAGGTCGGATTATCAGAAAAAAAGTAAAATAAACAATATTCCCCTTTGTCCAGTCTTTGTAGCACTGCTAATTTTTCATTTAATGAAAGAGTAACGTGTTTACGTTTCACTCCTGACATGTTAAAAACACACACAAAACTGTACATGTACACACAATGTAAAACATATACTGTAACGAACACAGAAAAACGCTACGGACGGTGAGTCACCGACGAGTCGGGACAAGTTTCTCGACTCCGACCACGGTCGGATTAACCGGAGTGATGGACTAGCCGAGGGCGGACTAGAGGGGTTCTACTGTAATTTAAAACTTGCTTAAGCAAAAAAGTGGGATAAAATTTAAAATTATTTTTGAATCACTGTTTAATAATTTAAAAAACATCATGCTGACAGACTTGCTTCTATAACATGCTCTTACAGATGGCAAAATGTACACTATACTCCATAAAATACCTAAAAATCTCACTTCTTTAGAAAAACTTATAGTACGCGGAAACATTTTTTTATTTTTAACAATGATTACCACCAGGGCTATTGAGAGCTTGTATAGGGGGCCCAGGGATAGAAAGGCCAACCTTATCTCTTAGTGGGTCACTTTGGCCTTTTGTTTTTGGAACAAATGAAATGCATTGCTTTTCATTAATAAAGAAACATTCTGTCTAAAAGATTTTATTTTCTGTTAGTAAAAGTATTGTTAATTTTATAAGAGTAGGAATCACTACTGGTTCTTAAGTTTTTTCTGGGCCCAAGAAGAAATCCTAAACTCCCCTCTTGATGATGATGGTTACCACAAAGATATCAGAGAACAGGAATCAGTACATTTACATTTAATTTACATTAACACAGCAGTGCTATGCTCTTAAAAGAGAAAACATGCTGGTGCATCCAAGAATGCTCTTATAAGTGAAGCATGTCCTGCTTCACTTAAAAGAGCATGTTTTGCATCACTTGTATGCAACACTTGTTTTTGCATATAAGTTCATGCTCTTATTTCCAGTTTTCCAGGTTTTCACAGTAGTGATTGTCCTGTAAGTAAATGCAATTATTATAACATTTTAAAACATCATTGTTTTCTACACTAGACAGAAAAGATGTTTAAATATTTATCAAAGAAAATTAATTATAATTACAAATAGGATTCAAAAATTGTCTGATATAATTTTCTTTAATAGTTATAGGTTAAAAAAAAATCAAATTATCTTTAAGTTTTTATTCAACACAACATTTACAATTTCAATTTTGTTTTACAATAATACAATCAATATACAATACATGAAATTGTTAAGTTGAAGACATTTGGAGAAATTATTTTAAATATTTCAGAAGTGCTCATGGACAAGCAAAATGTTAACAAACCTTTTACATTGTCAAAAACAGCAAAAACTGCTTAGAATAAAAACTTTAAAAAACAGATCTTCCATTTCAATAGATGATCCATTTTAAACATTTTGTTTTTTTGGAAAAAATTTAACTTACAATATTCATTTTTAATAGTTTAATGATTTGTTATATGTTTTATATAAAAGTGTGGTATATCCTTTAATTTATTTCTTTTATGAGGAGGGAGAATATTGAATTTTTGATACTAAAACATATGAAAGAGCAAAATTGACAAAATATTGCTGAAAACAATTATTTATGCATATATACAAAAGATTTGTTTCAATAAACTATATATGACTTTTAATAATCAATGTATTAAAAAAATGAATATAATGAATATTAAATATATATACATAAAGATTAGTTATAACAGAAATTTTAAAATTATCTCTCTTTCTATATATATAGAAATTTTTTGAAAAATTAAAATTTTTTTTCAAACAATAAGACATTTAGAATAAATAATATGGCAAATTACTTTTATTGTTTATTACCATTAAAAAAGTGAGCAATAAACAGGGCAGCTTCTTTATCAGACATTTTATCTATTTATTTATTTGTTTTGCTTTATAGCACTTTTCTTCACAAAGGCAAGGAATCAGAAAATTTAATTTAAAAACATTAAATTATATAGAAAAAAAATTAAACACCACAATGCCATAAACATTTGCTTCAAAATTTATTTCAAGGTTAATGCAAAAATCATGTGAAACACCTTTTAATTTATCAACAGTCCAGTAATTCAATGGGATTATTCTAGATTACGCTCTAGTGTCTTTTATGTTATGAGAATGAATAATGATCAAGTGCACCTTCAAGAGGAAAAGTAAACAAAAGTATAAATTCATTTCACATATTTCAAATTTTCAGCCATGTAGTATATCAATGTATCTACTGCAAAAATTTTGAAACTAACTGTTAAAGTATTTACTGTTTTATTACATTATTTTTGCTATTAAATTTTTGAAGTATTTTATATGTTTATAAATGTTAGATTTTGTAATTTTAGATCTAATTATAATTGTCTAAATTAGAAATAAATAAATTTCAGTTAAGAATTTAAGATTTAAGTGATTCATTGGCACAATCCCTAAACAAATTATTGCTTGCTGCATCATTTATGTAACATTCATTCATTTCATTCAATTAAATAATATAATATAAATTTGCCAAATACTTTAATTTGAGCAAGGTTTATCTTGAATTAGTTTTAATTAAACTCCTCATTATAAAATTTTATGTAAGTATTTATAAAAGCAGTTGTAGCTGTTTTTTAAACTCAAATGTTACAAATATTTCTCTTTAAATATAAAATAATCAATCTGAAATGTAAAGCACTATAGCAATATCAAATCATTTTTTTTTTTTTTTTCAAAAATGCATAACTTTCTAAAAATAATGGAAAATTTTGACACATTATGTGCGTACATTATTGTAAATCTATATATTTTCCTTTTTTGCATATTTTTCTCTTATCGCTAAGTGACCTGAATTACATCTGACAGTTGATTTTAAAACTGTCCTCTTTCAACAATATATATATAAGCCATTTAATCTTATAATCAGGAGGCATTTTTACACAATTCAAACAAACTAATTTTGTGAAAACTTAATAAAACAATTATCTTCATAAATTAAAGTAATAATTCTTAAAAACAGTCATCATAAAATAAAATAAAATTAAATTATACTTGATAATAAATTTAATTCAAATACCTAATGGAATGTAATAAATTTTAAAATATTTCAAATAATTATCAATTTAAATTTAAATGTATCTCTGTTGAAGAAATATATATATATAATAGCATATATTACACTAATATTGATACAGAAGTAAGGAAGACATTGGGATAAGAAATTAGCACACCAGAATTATAAAAAATTATAATATGAAATTAATGAAAAAAAGAAGATAAATAAATAAGTTTATTTATTTATTTATCTTCCATTTATCTTAAAAATTAGTAACTAAAACTTAAAATTCTTCATTAAAAACAATATAATAAAAAGTATATATATTTAATATTTGATTTATTCTTATATTTTTTTAAGTGTGTCTTTTTTTGGATCAGCTGTTTTATTGACATTTTAACATTTGATATAAACTATTTTAACAAGAGTAACATCACATAGCATATAAAACACATAACACAAATTTAACTATAAAAGTAATATTTACATCTCTATAATACAATAACTGTATGGCATATTATATAAGTGTTCATAGATACAAACATCTCCAACCCGATATATAATTATAGCTACAACCAACAGACTGCCGAAAATCTATCGGGCTAGTTTTATGCTACTTATTAGATAAATTACGTAATCAATTTGGTACTAGAGGTAAGCGTTAGGCGCCATCTCTTATTAATATTAATAATTATAAATAATTTTAATTAATTTAAATAATTTGGAACCGCTGGGAGAAAAAATCGGCCCGGAGCGGGACTCGAACCCACAACTCCTGCTTACCGTGCAGATGCGTTGCCAGTTACGCTACCCGGACCTCCGATCCGATCTCCTCTTCCAGCGTATATAATCTAACTACTTAACCATCGACGGTTATTACAACGCCGGCTGGGGACACATTCAGTGCCCACGTCCTACTTCCCATAAGGCNTTTTCGGCAGTCTGTTGGTTGTAGCTATAATTATATATCGGGTTGGAGATGTTTGTATATATATTACGCCTTGCCGGGGCTTGCGATGGCCGGTTGAGAGCCGTATGGGAAGTAGGACGTGGGCACTGAATGTGTCCCCAGCCGGCGTTGTAATAACCGTCGATGGTTAAGTAGTTAGATTATATACGCTGGAAGAGGAGATCGGATCGGAGGTCCGGGTAGCGTAACTGGCAACGCATCTGCACGGTAAGCAGGAGTTGTGGGTTCGAGTCCCGCTCCGGGCCGATTTTTTCTCCCAGCGGTTCCAAATTATTTAAATTAATTAAAATTATTTATAATTATTAATATTAATAAGAGATGGCGCCTAACGCTTACCTCTAGTACCAAATTGATTACGTAATTTATCTAATAAGTAGCATAAAACTAGCCCGATAGATTTTCGGCAGTCTGTTGGTTGTAGCTATAAGTGTTCATAGTTCTTAATTTCAACATTTTTGCTAACAGATAACTTTTCACTGAAAGAATATTGCACTAATGAAATTAAAATTAGCAAGTTATATATATATATATATATAATAATTCAATAAACTAAGTAATTTTGAGTTTAACACATGATATAATAAGAACAACTGATTAACAGACTTAAAAATTATAATGCATTTTAATTAACAAAATTTTAATGCTAAAAATAAAGAATCTACTTTTAACATTTTCTATCATTTAAATTAAATAGATTAGAATGCAAAACAAAATCAAAAAATAAAAATTAGGAAAATGAAAACAATATAATAGAAATTATTATAATCAATTCTTATCAACATTGCTAAAATTCAATAAACACAAACTTGTAACAATTTCAATTCTGGGACTTGTCTTTATGATTTCTTGGACATCATCATCAAATAAAGTATTTGTAAAAGAAATAACAGGAATAATATATGAAAAAATTAAATATAATGATAATAGTTATGTTCCAGGTAAAATCATTTCAGAAATAAAAGTTAAATTTAATAATTTCAAAAATATTCACTGAAATTTATTTTAAAATTAATGTAAATTGAGTCTTTAGTAGAAGATAATCAGAAATTCTGAAAAATTAAAGATCAATATTTGAATCTAATTGCATAAGGCACTCAAGGTGACAGGTGTCAGAAATTTAAGTAAAAGTTCATAATAAACAAATATGCATGTCCATGAGCACAATTTATTATTATATGGAGATCAATGGAGGCAGTAAACAGCAACATGAAAAGTTTAAATTTGAAAATTGTACATTCTAATGAAAAATCACCAAAGACAAATGGTCAAATCTTTGCCAAATGAAAATTCATCCTGGTGACAATATTTATATGATATGAAGGATTTACTCATTGATATTTATGATGAAGAAAAAGTGTAAGATGAATAAAAATATTTGAGTGCAAACATATAAACTAATGAACACTTTTAATGGTAACATTACATGTGAGACAAAAGGGCAAATATAGTCAATTAAAACTAATTCTAAACAAATTGTGGCCTCTCTAATTTGCTCATATTAAAATGAAGTTTGGATGAATATTGGCATCACATTGGGGTAAACATTTTTGACGAGACATAGTCAGGAGAACTCAAATGTAAACTCCTGCACAATGGGAAAGATGCAAAATCAATTTAGAAACTTCGCAATATTAATAATATTGCACCAATTTATAACTATGCCATGTGTCTTATGTTCATACAATCACACTTTGCAAAATACTCAAATATATTTACATACACACAAAAATAATATATTAAGGCTCAAATGGAACATTCTGTTTAAGATATTGGGGAAATTGCAAAATGTTAATAATGTTCTGCATCAAAAGCTATCTTTACCAATGAAATGCTGAATATGTTTAACAATATGATATTGTTAATCTTTGTACTTCCAGACAGTACAACAATGGAATGAAATATTAACAACTTCAGAAAAAAATGCAATTCCATGCAAAAAATCTTATTATGTAAAAACAATCCATAAGATAAAAATATTAACAGTTGTAAAATCAAATAACAAGATAAACTTTGATATATGATGAAAATTTTAAAGATAAATTTATTTTCAAATCTTATCATCATATCAAAGCTAAAATTGAAATCATATTAACAAAAAGAAAAATAAAAATAATAAAATAAATAGTTTTTCCCTAAAGACAAAAGTCTATTTCTTTACACTAGAATGAACATTATAAAGATTATATTCAATGCAGCTACTGCTGATAATATTGTCTATTTAAACATATTTCAACAGATGCTACATCAATAAAGTAACTACTGGTAAATATTTGCTGCTGACACATCAAGGAAAATGATTTATTTCTGTAAATTGTAGGAATTAATGAGATTAAAATAAAATTGCAAGCAAATTAAATTTGTTTTGTTCTGCAATTATTTACACCAATAATTAAAAATTAAGATAAATTAAAAAATTTATTAAACAATAAATGGAATTATAATTTTATCAGAAAAATTTGTATCATTTAATTGAGAAATAAATGCAAAAGGTAATGCATTTGTTGGAAATTTATAATTAGTAGAGAGATCACGTTAAGCATTCTTCATTTGGAATTTGCTTGCACATAAATACATTATTGAATATTACATATATTTTAGTACCAGTTATGATTGTCTTACTACTACTTGTATTATAACACAAATAGCTATATACACATGCAATTTTTTATTTTTGAAGTGCCAGCAGACTAGGAAGGTTTTTGAATTAATTTTATATGAGTACATGAGATGAGGTATGATCCAGGTATATTATTATTTGAATTATGAAGAAAACGAAAGTTATGTCCAATTACTCCATCAGAAGTTAACAAGACATTCTAATGTGTACTTGCATTAATCCCAATATCTTCCATCTGTGTACAGTCCTGTAAATATTAAATTCAGAGAGCCTCATGAACTCTCTGCTGTAACAGGGTATTGATTTGAACCCTGAGAAGTTCCAGCTTCATCAAGTGGAGGAAGAGGAGCATCTTTCCTTGGTGGCATCCTTTCATTAATTTTATCAAGTCCTTTTGCCTCTTCAAAACTTGATATTCGGTGATTAGGAGAAAATCCTTGTAAAGCTATTTTAAAATAATTTATTATTATTAATAATATAATAAGAACCAAGAATTCTTACAATAAATAATAATAATAATGTAATAATAAAAAAATTTTTAAATGGCTTATTCATAAATTAAAACAATAAATAAATATAATTTTATAATTTTGTTTTAATTAAAGTTACCAAAAGCATAACTATTAAAAACATTTTAAACATAATAAAAATTGTTGTTTCTGCTGGTCATCAAGGCCAACAGAAACAACACTGCAATTAAATTAAATTAACTACAAGGACAATAACACATTGTCATCATTAGAGGCTATTGTTTGAAATTTGTTATTTTTATATTACTGTGAAACCACATGATTACCAACTACAAATCAGATGTATTTTCATAATTTAAAATTGTAAAATTCATTATTCAGTTACTGAATCCATTCTTTTAACCTAAAGATGGTTGCTCAAGTCAATTGACAATATTGTTTTTCTTTCACTTTTTGTTCTACACACTAGATTTTTGGTTCTAAGAATGTAATTTATACCAGATATTCTAACCACTAGACCACATGGGAAAACAGAATACTTAGTTGTTAACTAAAAATTTATGCAATTTTACTTTTTTTGGGATGTGTGGTTATAGTAGTAGCATTAATCATTTTTAAGTGTCCTTTAATCCAGTTGTAGAAATCTGGTAACCTACTATTATGATATGCACCATCTGTTACTCTTACATCCAATCTTAATTTTTATACAAGTTTTGAGATAAATTGTGACTCTTTCATCTATATATATAAAAATGAATGTATGTCTGTCTGTCCTTCATGCATTACTACACCATTTATCTGATTGCCATGAAACTTTGGAAAGTTGTTTAATACACTCCCGTGAAGGTTTCTGGCATAGTACATTTATCCTATGATAGATGGTGCTCTTGTATACGAGCATTTCAGCATGGTTAGGAGTTGAAACTTGAAATTTGGTACACAGTTAGGGTGCATCACGAGAACGCACACTAACAAGGGATTTTTTGAAATTCCCCCGCGAGGAAAGGGACAGGATTAAGGCTTCAACAATGGAAGTGTTAAGCAATGTTCCCTCTAATTTTTTTTGTAGATGAGCGGAACATATACTTCTCTGAGCAAAAAATTTTTCTGAGCATATATATAAAATCTTATTTTTTCCTATAAAAATTAAAATAATTAATTATAAAGTAGAGATTAAAATTCATTTTAAAACATACTTTTATACAAAATATTATCTTTTGTCAATGATTTAATGTATTTAATTGAAATATACGCAGCAATAATCATGTTGCAGACAGAGTGAGAAATAAGTAAACAACAATTCAAACCGGTGTGCATGCTCGCCTGCGCGGCACATAAATTCTCATGCGCAGCAACAATTTGAGCAGTGTGTGGCCGCACAACCGCACAGCTTAGAGGGAACATTGGTGTTAAGTAACAATGGAAGTATTAAGAATGGAAGTGTTAAGAGAAAGCAATGTGCAAGATTTACAGGCACAGATGCGGTTTTTTGCATTAAGTCGAACATAATTTTAGACCCATCTAAAAATTTTCTAATTAGTCTGGAAACAGGGGAACCTAATTCTTGCATTCTGTGAAAACGGGTAAGATTGGCTGTAATGTAATAATCTTAATCTTCGCTATCGTTACTTTTTGCCCAAGCAACGCCGGGCTTATCTGCTAGTGTTTATTAAAAATTAAAAGTGCAAATAAAAGATGAGCTGATGTAAATTCTGTCTTGAACAGAATCAAAAACATTTATGGATCTTGATTCTATTCCATTAAGCCATATTTTTTCAAACAAACAATTCAAAAGGATATTACTTAATAAAATTGGAATAATAAAATTTATATTTTTTAAATGTAAATTTTAAATACAATTTATTATATAGAAATATAACAAATAAAATATTTTATATCTGGGCTGCAATTGAAAAAATTGTAGACCTATAAATTCCCACTGTTGTCCATCCATCTGTCTGTTTTTCCTTAATCTCAAGAATAGAGTTAGATAGATGAAAGAGGAGACCAAATATGAAAATCTTAGGGGCAGAAAGCCCTGATTAACTACATAAGAACTTCCAATGCAAACCAGAAGTCATGTTATTTCAATTCAAAAATTTTCCCTTGTAAGGTGTTAAATAGATGACTGGCACAACTCTACTGTTAAAGGAAAAGTATGATGTACAGGGGCAAGCCACTACTAATTTGAAATGGAGAGCATATTTTATGTTAAATACATTAAAAATATGATTAAAAATTGCAGCCTAGCATTGTGACGATGTCACAACAAATAATTGCTCGTACAGTCAACCCCCCTATAAGATATAGATACGTTCCAATTTATTAGGAATCCGATTTCTTACAAGTTGTTCCAATCACAGCTCGACACGTGTCAAGTTTGCGGACTACGGCTGATTGAAAGGTTTTCTTCCATAAAATTAATCGATTCTACACTAATCCGACTCAACATTTCCAAAATACGTATATTTTTTTGTAGTTTTATAGGAATCATAATTATAGGGACCGTAATTATAGGGGGGGGGTCGACTGTATTTAATATAAATATTATCTATTCAATTCAAAGAATGATATATAATTTGAAAACCGTTGCAATGGGTTTTCAAATTATATATCATTCATTTCAACATTAAGAATTTTTATTTTTATGAATAATTCATATTATAAATACCTGTTCTTATGGAATCTTTTCCTCCAGACAATGATCCTCTTGGTAACTGACCAGATGGAGTTAAACCTTTTAACTGCAAAACACTCTCACTCTCTTCTCTGCAATTAAATAATTATTTGTAGTTCAAATAAAATTTATTTTCATTATATTGTCAAATAAATTTTTTAATATAAAATTGAAGCATTATTTAAACAAAACATATATTCTTAATTATATTGTATACTATGCCATTTCAAGTGTAGTATAACTTATTTAAACAAATTTTTTTAATTATAAGTATATTTTTTTTTTTTTGAAGGAAACAACACAGATACAAACATTATAAAATTATGCAATTCTGAGTGCAATTGCTAGAAATTCTTTCATCAATCATTAACTTTTTTGCTAGTAAATACCTAAATAAGTTTATTACATATTTATTGAATACGTTTGGAATAATTAAACTCCATCAGAATCTCATAACTTGAGTGTCATATCTAATCATTTAAATGTTAAATTAGACCATCGTTATTCATATTAATATTTAGAATGTGATCATTAAGTGGTAAGAATCTAATAATGGAGTCTTAGCATTCCAAAAAATATAGTAAAGTTTATCTTAACTTTGGACCACTGAGAAAGCTATGGACCACTGAACACTAATAAGTAATTCATGACAAAATGTAATCTAATGGTAAGCATAACAGGTTATACTCTTACAAAATTATTAATATATATTATAATAATAAGCGTGTTAAAAACTACTAAGCTTCTGCAACAGTCCAAAGTTATATGATGATGAACTGAATTATAGTAATAAATCATAACAACTAATAAGAGAATTTTGAAAATAAAAATACAGGTTAATTTCAAAAAGGAGCTAAGTCACTTAGCACTTTTTTGCAAGCTTCTAGCTCATATGTTTTTCTTCTTTGATTGAAAACTATTAGTTCCAAACTTTTACATCTTTAGGTACCTTTTCGATGAAAGTATATTCTCTGTTTTTACTAAAGCACATTTTTCAATAAGTTAGTCATATTCCTTTTTTCATTTGCACAAAGTGCAAATTCAAACTTAATTCCAAACAAGTATGTGGTTTGCAAAATTTCTGAATTTTTTGCTTTAATCAGTTAAACTGACTTTAAAAGTTAATGATTCTAGCACAATAATTTGTGCTCTTTTAATTAAACTATATAGTAGCTTATTGCAACTTATAGTTATTCAACACAAGCTAATCATAATATGCATTTTTTTCAAACATGACTATTTTAGTCTTGCAACTAAAGAAACCAAGATCAACATCCAAAAACAAAAATGTATCTTCTGAGAAAGATTGTAGTATCATTCCTACATAGTTTCATCATTACTGCACCAATGGATTTTCTCTATCCTAGAGTCTAAGGCAAGTGTTTAAAAAATATGATTTTTTGACGAAATAAATGTTTATAACTTTGCAACCACTAAACCACAGAGCTTCAAAGCTTCATTGTGAAGAGCTTTACTAGGCATTTAGAAAAACATATCTGGTTATCGATGAGCTGATAAAATATTGGGCTTTAGTTTGATAGGTTATCAAACTAAAACCCAATATATATACTGAAATGCTGTACCATGTGACATTTTTGGATCCAGCTCAATAGTCATTAAAAATATGGCACCAATATCAGATAAAGCATCATAAAATTGAATTTAGACCAACTTTTCCTCAAAATTGCATAAATTTTAAGGCCAGAGATTACTAAGTTATTTGTTATTTTGTTTTATATATTTTCTATTTTCAGGGATTTGTTAAAAATGGGATGGCTACCATGTGCCTTATGGCATTACTATGTAAAAATTTAAACAATAAAAATTTGCATAAAAATTTGATTAATATGCAAATGTGAATATCTGGAGGGGTTAATTAGAGCTAATTAGCCTGTTAACTTAATTATAATTTGATGGAAAACCCCGGATTCCCACTGGAAACTTCCTGGCTGCTTGCCGATTGAAAAGAAAAACCTATCAAATATCCCTCTGAATCAACAATCATTTCGATGTTTGGACTTATGTTACAATGTTCGATTATTAATGATGGGAAACTGTCAAATGGATTAAATTATGAGGTAAAAAGAGTCAGACTGCTCCGGCTGAAGTAATGACACAACTCAAACTTAGAACACATTAAATCAAAGTCACTTGAGACCATTGTCATGTGTGACATGTATAAAAAGGGGCTCCCAATCGAGTGTCAGGGCAAACATCAACAGAAGTCCTAAGTAAACCTGTCCTGCTAACTGCCATCCATTGCTACTCCTGTCGATGATCCAATATACCTCCATGAAGATCCATGATCGGTTTACGACCATTGTATAAACAGGATCACGAGACATTGTTACTCTCTCTGAGGTATTTTACTCAAAATTGTAAGCTCCTCTCTCTCCGTCTTTAGTATATAAGATAGTTAATAGTCAAGATCTAACGATGTATTATCCAAGCAAAGACTTGAGTGCAGTTGTATATAGAGTTAATGTATTCATTCATTTAGTTTATTAAATTTTTATTATTTGTTAACCTGTCACACTGTCTTCCTTTGGAGTATGGACCCCATTGACTTGTCCACCCCCTCGTCGCTTGGATCCCATCCATCCAATGACAAAGTGAGTGAGTTTTACCAACCCATCATCGTTAAAAGGGATTTAGAGTTCGACCTCAGTTTCTCACACAAATATCTTGAGAAATGTTGAAAAGATTCACATTCAGAGTCATGACATCATTCAATTTAACTTCTTGTGCATCTTTTGAGACCGATCCCATCAACATTTAACCAGTGGTTTGAACTATCTCTTGGTGACATTTTGGCCATGTGTTTTTCTGAAATGCATGTAATATGCAAATTAAGGAGCTACAATACACTCAAGTAAAGTTTTATCACTGAAATCATTAAGATATTGGGGGGAAATTGGACTACTGGAATTTTAGATTTGAAATTTTTGTTAAAGTGTGATAGGCAGTAGTGTAGCTAAGAAAGGGCAGTTTGCTGGAAATTTTGGTCCATTGCAATGGAAAGGAAAGCCTTTTGTTGGGATAGTAGGATACAAGATGCCAGACACAATTTTATTTTTCCACAAAAATACTGCTTATTATCAGAAATTTCCAACAATGGTATGGACTGTGTTCCTTCAAAAATGATCTTATTGACTATTATACCCATTTAAGCACTTAGTTGTGCTTAATTAATAACATTTATAACAGTATCCTAACTTTTTGTAGGTTTTTTTCCTATGACTGTCTTTTTCACTTTTTGTCAAAGTATGTTAGATGTGTATTATGTTGTTTTTCATGCAGAGCAACAAACTCAAGAACAACTCCCCAAGCAGTACAAACCCTAACTATGCAATAGATGCTAGGTGAAGATCAAACATACATGGGCAGTCAAAAAGTTCCTGGAATTGTGGTATAACATTGTAATGGTAGAACATACAGAAATGATTTCCTAATAACTTTCAAAGAAGGTCCTTTAAGTACTGACACACACTTGTCCATTGATTTTGCTACTGTTGGAAGGCTTCTTTTGGAATATTCAGTTTGGCTGTTGCATTTGCTTTGATGTTTTTCATGCAGTCCCTTGAGAAACATTTTCAGCATAGGGAACAGCCAGAAGTCACTTGGAGTGAGGTCTGGTGAGTATGATAATTGGGTAAATCTTTTGTTGGCAAGAATTGCTGCATAACAAGTGATAAGTGACTCAGTGTATTATTGCAATGCAGAAACCATCCCTCACCACTTGTCATGCCATTTCCTCATAACAGCATCTTGCAACCTATGCAAAATTTGCACACAGAAATGACCAATAACACATTGTCTAGTTGGTATAAACTCAGGATGTACCACACCATCCAAATGATGCTCGTTGCATTATTTGACATGGACAGTGTGGAGCACCAGGGATCAAAGGGATGTGTTTCACAACATGGAGAACATCAAATCAAATGCAACAGTTAAACTCCAAAAGAATATTCTAAAAGAGACCTACAAATAATGGCAGGATCAATGGAGCTACTCTATGCATATAATGAAGGGTCCTACTTTGAAGGTGATTAGGTAAGTGTTTCTATATATTCCTATATATTCTATATAATGGTTCCAGTGTTATATCACAATTCTGGAAACTTTTTGACTGTCCAAGTATTAAAGTGCAGTGCTACCACGATGCCCTTGATGCCAATACATTTATGTACTGTACAGATATTTGTAACATGCTTCTGAATACAGGTATACCTCGCCTTACGTCGGTAATTGGTTCCAGGAGAACGACTTAAGTTGAAAAACGACGTAAGTCAAATTTACTTGTTTCCAAATGTACTTGTCACTAGGCTAAACCATAAATTGTCAATTCCGGTTCTGTATTTTATTTATTAACTTTTTTCCGTTCATGTTAAAAATTCAGTGAAATTTGTCATGCGGCGCATTTTTTGAATTTTTGGATAATTTTTTAAATTGAGATATTTCGCTTCAAAATCGCGCTATATTTAATCTGTTTTTTTGTGTTTGATTAAAAACATATTACAGTTTACGATTGTTTAATTTTTAGTTTAATACAAATTTAAAATAATATTAAAATTTCAAAGTTCACGAACAACAGAAAAAAAAATTAATTTACAGAGATTTGCTGAACTTTGTACATCTGTTAGATGCATCTGTCTTCTTTTAAACAAAACAAACCGCAGCTCTCTAGCTAGAGCGGGGGAGAAGTTATTGCCATTATTTACGCTACATCTCTAATTACCCAGTGGGGAAAGAAGTCGATTGTCATCGTGAAGCGACGCCGATTAGTGAGCCGTACGACCAATACGTCTTTCACTTATATTTCGAAAAATAATTAAATGTATTCAAAATATTTATGAATTGGTCACTAATTTAAAAAAACAAAATAAATCTTACTTAGAATAAAAAGTATTTCTATATTATTTTGATGATTATTGCAGTAATCGACTATACAACGCAAATTTGCAAGCAATTGTTTACATATTTTCTCTCATTACGTAAATGCGAAAATTTGACTTTACCCTCACGTATATATAAACAGTTCTGAGTAAAGTCCTTGTTTACAATGTACTCTGTCTCCCTATATGACTAACTGCGGGGAGTGGGAAGTGACTTGGGTATTTTTAGATCAAAGTTTATCAACATACTTTTATAAGAGTGAATATTTGACACTTTTTACATATTTTTTCAGCGTTTTATATAATAATACCCTATAATAAATGATTAGTTAATTTTTTCCTGTGATTACGCAATATCTGGAAGTAATGAGTTTCCCGGAAAATTTTTCAGCTGGAAGCTTTTGATAAAAAATCCTCTTGTCTAAGTAGAGTCAAATAACATGAAAACTAGTAAAATTACGCTCTAAAATAATGAATATAGCTATTTTTTAACGTTTGTTTACATAATGACTTCAATCACGTGGATTGGTTCTTTGTGGGAAAATCCAGACCAGATGGTTCTGAAAAAACTCTCATTCGTTAAAGTTAAATCAGTCATAATATAAATTACCAATTAGACGTAATAAGCGTAGAAAAAAATTTTAAAGCCAATTAACAGCAAGAACGTCTTCCATCGACTTACTATAGAGAGGTGGAGTTTCCTGGGAATATTTGTTGCTAGATAGTTTTAAAAACATATTTATACGATAAAATATTGTCGAATTAGCTAATTTAATGTCTTAAAACGTTAAATTAGTTAATTAGAGCTAAAAAACTATTTAAAAAGCAAATTTATTGTGATTGTTTACATTTTACTTCGAAGGTTGGAGGCGGGACTTTTCGTGGCAATTTTTCCTTTCACAAGTCTGTGATTAGTTACAGTAATGTCAACAAAGACAGAAGATACCCAATAAAACTTTAGAAGGAGTTTCCCTTTGATTGTTTTCATTTTACATTTACATTTTCTACCATTTACAGTAAATCTTCGAAGTTTAGGGGATGTATTTACCGAAATATTTATGGCCCAGGGTGATAACAAAACACTTATTGGCTTAAACAAAGTCAATCAACCTACAAAAGAGCGAATCATAGCTAAAATCGCAAGAAAACTCGAATATAACGC